TTCCACTTAGGCTTCCTCGGTTCTCTGAGCACACCCGATCACACCCCGCTTCCAAGAAGTGTGCGAAATCTACGACTCTAATTCGCTTGGCGGTGTCGAACAAGGGATTGGTGAATTGCAAACGAGAAGGCTGATCTGCTATGTTACTATGTGAAGGAACTCTGCCAAACCAGCTGTATATCTTGATTCTTTCTTCCAATCGGACAAAATTCTGCACCATGGATTTGGTATGCACAGTTGCTCCAACACCCTGTATGAAAGCACTGCGAGCAGCTTCGTTGTCAATATAAAAAACAACTTGGCCACCAGCGATGTAGGTAGCCCAGAGCGAAGCTGCCATCAGGACTGGCAGGATTTCCAACTCATATATGGGATGCTTTGATGTGCCCAGCAAGATCTCCAAGAACTCGGCATTGACTCTTTCTCCAAAAATTTCAATCAAAGTCCCGTGCGGGCTGACAAGAACGCCTCCCACACTACCGAAACCCTGGTCAGATTTCTCATACGCTCCATCGGTGAATACTAGCCAAGTCCAACACAAAGCTCGACTCACCCTCACAGGTTGGGACTGCTCCACCAATTTCTCAAGACCCTTCAAGGCTTCAGCCAGCGAACCCTGGACCAAGACCCTGCTAGTGCGAACCCGAGAAAATTCAGATAAAGTCCGAACAAAGCCATTCATCAACCTACCAAAGATGAAGGAGCTGAACCAGACTATAGTCTCCCATGCAATCGTTCGAGCTCTTTTGGAGCAGCGGCTGCTGCCTTCAGAATGGAGCATAAGCTATTGAGCAACTCGTCACGCCTCTTCGAGGTATGCTGTATCGAAAAGGTTCCTGAAGTGACCGTTGAGACATCTATTATCAAACCCAAGGACTTGAAAGCACTTTGGAAGGGTGGAGCTTTGTCACCTGTGGCGGCGTATTCGACTCCAAGCAATTTAAACAATGACTCAACGTACCATCCGTTGTTATCAGCCTCCTCCTGTGTGCACAGTACAGTAAAGTCATCAAAGAAACTAGTCCAGGTGATGTCCAAACCATATGTGCCAATGTATGCGATGCTGCAAGCAACTCTGAGGAAACTGGTGACGCTTCCTGAAGCTCCGAACGGCAGTGCGTAGACTTTGAACAGGCCGTACGAGCCGCCGGGTTTCCGCGCTGCGATGTTCAAAAACTTGCTGCGCCACTCATCCACACCAAACTGTTTGTAAGCATGTTTAAGATCAAACGTGCGTCCTACCAGAGCAGGGCATGCAGCACCTTCGGTAGAGTCAAGGATGTAGGCAAGGTAAGCTCTGAGTTCATCTATGCTTTGAACCCGAAGCTTCTCTGTCATACCGTAGGCAGAATTGGCTCCACAGATCGAGAAATCATCGATCAATCGCACTTTGCTTCCTTCCACCAGAGGAAAACGCTTGGCAATGACACATTCACTCGACCCATCGCTAACACCGAGCCACCCCTTCTGAACCTCTTCCATGGTTTCGTCCCAAGCATACTGATCATGCGGACCTTCAGTGCTGTTTTCCAACGAGCCCGTGACCGCCGCATTCAAACCGGCTGCTCTTTTCCGCAGTTCCTGGGTTGTCAAACTGGGCTTTCGAACATGCTTGTGGAACACTCCAGTTTGCGGCGCCCAACCTGTCAATGCGAACCCTTTTACAACATCATCGATAACGGCTACGTCAGAGTATGCAAGGTCAATCAAGATCTCCTTCCACAACAAGAGCCGTTTACCCATCAGGATGGGGACCAAGTGTGGCGCAAGGGAATCACGCAACTTCTGCTCGCTTTCTTTCAGCTCCAAGGATCTCTTAAGCCATTTCTTCATGAAGGCTGCACGCTTTTGGAAACGAACAGAGCAAGGTTGATGCACCAAATTCAAAAGCAGGTCCCGCTCGGCGTCCCGTATGTTTGCAATGATGTCTCTAGGGTGACCCTTGTTCAAGGCTTCTTGTATAAACTCACTGGGTTCCCTTGGGATGCCAATGTTCACTACTTCACATTGCCCATCCGTGCCACACCTCTCGTCAACGACAACAGTGCGTGATTTCTGTGCCGTGTCATCCCGATTCCACCCGCTGCTGAAGAACCCGATGACAAATGCGAGCTCCCTTGGGGAGTGTACGAAGAGTTTGCTCCAAAAATTCGGACCTATCAGGCAAGGTTACCACCGTTACATAACCCGAGAACTCAGAGACCAACGGCCTGAGACGACGACCTCTAGGTTGTGTTGTAAACAGCTGGCGTTTTGCACTGACATTGGTGTGGTCCAACTGTTGGTGCAAGTCAGTGGGAAAAATGAGGCCCGCCTTTGTGGCCTCTGTCCTCAAGATGTATGCAACGCGCTCACACAGCAAGTGCGGATAAGCGGCTTCATCTGCTGTTGGGAAAATTCGTTTCCCTGAGGCATCCACATAGGGTTTCCAGGGCGCGTGTTGGTGTTGTTTGTTACACTTCAGTGCCAAGCTCGCGAACAAATCCCTCTGCGGATCACGCGGGTTGAAGCTATACCAAGCAGTGTCTTTATCACGCTTTCCCCCGTGCGTGCAATGGTGAAAAGTGCAAACATGGTAGGTTGGCAACTTGCCCAACAAATGCTTTAAGAAGGAAGTCTTCCACAACAAAGAGTTGCGAGGGTTTTCAATGCTGATGCTGACTCCCAATTCCACCAAAGCAAAAATAAGCTCCGACATCGCTGCATAACTTCTGTTTGCCTCTGACACCCTTTGATGCTCCGACTCCGTCAAGTTGGGTAGGCCATCTGGACGAGCATCACTCCTCAAAGGCTTTGGAGCGGTTTTGAAACCTGGAATTGGCCGTTCTCTTGCACGCGAAGCAGTACCACAGCTTGGAGCAAAGTGTGCATGCAAGATGGCACTTCTCTCTTTTTCCAGATAAGTGCGCAAATTCAAGAACTGCTCTTCATTGGTAATGTCACAAATGTACACCGGAAAGTTTTCTGAACGGCCTGGGTCCTTGTCAATCGCATTCCACCTGAAGTCAAGCGAATGGCAAGCTTTCGAGAGTCGACAACTTCCTGAAAAAACTTCCACGAACAAGCAATCGGTTCGGGCTGAATCGTTGTGTAAGTCATGCATAGCCGGCTCAATGAGCTCCTGCATAGCCAGTCCATTGTCCTGTCTCGCAGAAGCCTGCCCTTGTGATGAGCAAAAAGTGGGTGAAAACAACTGCCCTGCTTCATTCCGTTTTGTTTCATCGTTGCAGGGCGCATGGCGAGATAGTCAAGATGACTCTTGACAGTTTGCAGCCCCGTGGCCCGTCTTCAAGCAACGCATGCATACATGAAAACCGAACCTACAGCGGCCCTTCTTGACTTCATTACTGCACCCTTGTTTGAGGTTTCTCTTCCAACAAATTGGTTTTCCATCTTTCGTCTTCAAGCGCAGTCCGGTCAGTTCGGATGGTAACTGGCCAGGCGAACGCTGGGCACCCGGCTTGGGCTGCTTCTGCTTCTTCGGGGGCGGGTTGGACACCTTGTCACCTTCTTGCTGAATGCTACGTTTCTCACCTCTAGCAGTTGGGGTTAAATGAATATTGATGCGAGGGTCATTCATCAACCTTTGAATGACTGCATCGAGAGGTGGCGGATCACCAACGTTTGCCCCCTTGAGCGAACCATCAAATTCGGCTGCTATGGTTAGGAATAGCTCCTGATCGGCGCGAAGCAACTGCTGCAAGGTGATGCTATTAAACCCTGGGACTGCTTCAGACATGAGTGCTCTAAAGAGTTTGTTGACCCATTCCATATGCACTGGCCAAGACACAAGATTGACTAAGTCAAACGCAAGTCCCCGGCGCTGAAGGGCGTACATCAACTTCATCTCAGTCCCAATGTCCACAGAGACCAGGGCATCTGAGGCTGTGGCCTTGATAGTTCCTTGCTCCAAAGTCAATAACTGCTTCTGCTTGTTCTTTGCTTCTGACTGGATTTCAGCATCTCGCGAGCCACACTTCGAAGGTGGCAGGTAAACAACTGCACCGGTCTCCAGAATGTTGAAGGCTGCATCAATCAAAGCATGAGAGGCCTGCTGCTCGTGTTTATGACTGATTCCAGTGATGCGCGTTTGCTGAGCTCTCAACCTCCTCTGCTTCTCGATGAAGGGCAATGTCTTGCCAGGCTCTGTCACATCACCTGCTGTTACCTGCCTCTTGAGATCGGCAACAACTAAAGTTACGGCTTCAAAATGCAAACGCTTCACCTTCGAAACCTGTGCAAGAGTGGCAGCTACTAGGGAAATCCTATCTGCGAATCGCTGCATAGCCTCATCTGTTGGGGCTGTCTGAGGGGCTCCAACAGCGTATGCAAGTGAAGCGAAAGTGACAATGCCAGCATTACTCATTGTATCATATAAATTCGGATCCAGCTCTTTGCAGCGTTTCTCAAACGCAGCTTCTGAGTCGACTAAGGCCATGGCGATGCTAAGCAACCTGAAGCAGGTTGTCTACCTGTTGTATGGCATGCTTCCATACTATGTTTGGTATTCCCGTGGATCCGATTTTGTGTGCTGCTTTCTAGCCATGTTCCAACTACCGTTGGTGTTTCTCAATGCTTTGAGCAGACCCGCACTGAACCCTGGCTGTCTCCAAGGTCCTGGATCCAAGACAAAACATACTCCAAACAAGTAAAATTTCAACGAAAAAGGTGTTAAATTTAAGACCTTTTTGCGGCATTCCAAGACGACTCAAACAGACCAAGAAATCTTAGAATTTTCTTTTCTCTCGCTCGAGACACCGGCTGAGTTTCCAACAATGGAACCCTGCCCTTCATGGCCCATGATTGGCCCGGCACATGTTAGTGCCCTAGATCACAGAAAATGCTACACTTCATACTCTACTTTCTTTTTCCAGCATGGGTGACATAGTGGAGTGTCAAACCTCACCTCCTCCACCACGCCGTATCTTTCTGGCACTGCTTTGCGACCACACAACAAGATGAGCTGGTGTTCCTTCTCCATGCAATGCAAAGTTCGAAGCTTCGTATGCTGCACAAGCTTCAAAGAGTCCGGCACGGTAGGAACACGCAGCGGTCTCCTGGCCCCACTGAGGACAGCGGCACTCTCATCTGAGCTTGTGGATGTATCCGGCGCCTCTGATGATGCATTGTCCTCCTCTTCCCTCTTCGGGCTGTCAGGGTCGACCTCAATGATTTCGGCAGACTCTCGGCTCTGGTTGGTCACCTCAACTTCTCGTGGTTTGTTACAAGGCTCACTAGCTTCGACCCATTCACCAACGAGTGAAAAAGGTGTTGACGCGAAGGATTCGTCCATGGTGCAACCCTCCAGAACCACGTCCCTGAATCTTCCGCTCCTGGTCTCATCTGGGCGGAAACGGCCAACACGCACATCATTGAGCAGCTCCTCCAGGACTCGCAAAGGTCTGGCCATGGCTTCACGACTGTAAGTGATAGTCGACTTGATAAAAGACACGTGCCCACCAAGCACTTGCCTATCCTCCCAAAGGTCACCATGCTTGGACAGCCAACTCAACAATGTGCACTTGCAGCTGTGGGAAGTGATCCTCCGGTCGGTCAGGTCGATCTCACACCGAGCCAACAACATACGGGTCCAGCTCTTCATCTCATCTGTCGTCAACGGCCGTCGACTCGGACTGTTGTCTGCGTTCGGAGCCGGCATGGTTGGGAAGTTGTCGTCAAAACAGATCCCAAGTTGCTCACGCACTTCAACCCAAACTGCTGCCCAATCGTGATCTGCAATTCCGTAAGCAGGGCAAATGGCCGGCAGAAAAGAGTTTCTGAATGCGCTTGACCACTTGCACTTGTGTTCATTGATATGAAATTCAAGAAATGCAAGTTCGCCATAATCGTCATGATCATGCAACACATGCTGAAGGTCTGACCAACGACTTCTGGTGTAGACTGTTGCCAACACCATCCCGGCCAACATACGGTCCCAGATGTCACATGTTTGGTCGGCCAGAATCGAATGCAACGCCTTCAACTCTGTGACTGTGAAGGGACTAGCCTGCCTCTTCGGCCCCCCCAGCTTTGGCTCCCGACGCTCCAAGACACCTGCGTGATGTTGTGAGGGGCTCCAGCTCACTGACTCCCATGACATGTTGCACGAACGTCAACGATTGCATAATACCTTGCAAGCGAGAAGTAGGCCGGCCCTCATCCTTTAAGCTTGACAGAAAGTAATACAAATCACCTTCATGCCCAGGAAATGCAATTGTCTGCACCTTCAAAAAGGTAACATAGCGTAGAAAAGAATTCACACGTTTCAACAATGTAGACGGTGCCTTCTTGTGGAAAATGTCACGCAGCATCGTGAGCTGATTCGAGACGTGATTCAGGGCTGTCAACTGGCGAACAATTTCAATGTCACCTGGCAGAGTCATAAGCACGTCATGCCATCTCCTGAGACCCACCTGAAAATCAGCCTCACGCTTGTCAATCCAAGTTGTATCAACGTCAGATTTAACTATGCTATGCCAAGAGGAGTGTTGCTGTGGAACTCGTGCACGTTTTCCTGGTCGTTCTTCTGAACTCTCAACACCAACAATCACTGGCAAGTTGGCAGCTTCAAAGTCAAAAAGAGCAGAATGAGGCTCAGTGGTTGGATTGAAGAAACCCTTCCAAAAACCGCTCTCCCACGGCAACCGAAAAGTCTGGCTGGCCGCATGTTCACTCCAGGTTTGCTCAACCAGCGTTCCGACCTCCATACGGGGCCGTTTCAAACGCCGAGCAGGAATGCAGCCATCCGCGACCGGGCCGCCGAACCCTGTGGTTTGTTGCCAAAGGAAGGAAAGAAATGAAGGTGCATTGCGACTAACTGCAACACGAAACGCAAGAAATGTACACCCCCGAGCTAATTTGAAGAAAATGGTTCCTCAAAATTTCGGAGGTCCCACCCACCCACACCTTGAGCGGAAACGTTCAGAGAACACAGAATGATCTGCTGATCAGTTACAAGAAGTTGGAACAAAGTAGACTAATAAACTGTGAGCACAAGTGTTGCTTGTGTTATCTTTTAAAAAGATTACACTCACACAGCTTAAAAAGATTACAGTACAAGTTCCAAAAGCTGAGTGACATCAGTGAAATTTTCAGAGTTTTGTTTTTACTAAACAAAACTTTGGAAAACGCGCGTCCGCATGTTTGCGAGCTTGAGCTACCGCCAAGCATTCATACACATCATGCGCAAAGGAGCACACGCATGCTTGCACTAATCCTATCATAGATAGGATTTTTAGAAGCTTTTAGAATAAGGCATGCGTCTTTTTCAAAGAGGCTTAGCTTAGTTCCTCGTCTGAGGGAGCCAATCTTGTACAAAGATGGCACAAGTACCATGCTAGGATAGGTCTTGGTTTCCCCAGTTTCACATGGGCCATGCACGTTGACGGATAGTGACCTCCGAACACCACTATCCGAAGGAAGAGTGAACACCCCCAAAGCTTCCCTTGACCAATACTTGGGAGCCACAGGGTGGTGTGTTGTGCCTCCCTTGTGGGAGGGGGATCAGAACAGATTCTTGCAGTACTTTTGTTGCAATGCCGTTCACTGCCACTTTCAAGATGAGCCTCTGCTTTTCGTTCGTGCAGTCAGTAATATGGCTTGTGCTACGGAGAGGGATTTTTCCATGGCTTGCTAAGCAATGCACCTGATGACTCTTTGGCATTTGTCATCGTTCTACTGCTAACATTACACCTGGCACCTTGCATGAAGTCAAGATAGCTCTTGTGCCAGCGACTAAATATGGCTTGGATGATCTCGTCCTTGCCAATGGAAAGTGGCCACATTTGATTGGCCGATCAGAACAACTGCCCACGCCCAAAAGCATTTTCCTTTTCGTAGTGAATTCAGGTCCTTAGTTATTTTGCAGCTCGTCAATTTCACCTGTCTCACACTAGTACAGAGGAAACACTCCCCAATTGGCTTGGGGGTCTTTGTTTGTGGATGTTTGGGTTTGTGTTTGGGGGCTTGGTTGTGTTCTGGTCTTCCCCCCGCCAACTTGCAGTGTTTCCATACTTCTCATGATGACCTGGGCACTCGCCCACACGGCGTCCGCACTCGTGGAAAAAAGTTATTCTGCGTAGGTTCCTCTCCATTTATGACGGCCCGGGAGTTTGACTAGCCTACGGAGCGCGGTGCAGTCCAGAAAGGCCCTACTGGCGATGTAGTGTAGTGAGGGCGGTATCGCAATCTCTGGCAGTGCAGCACAATTCATGAAGGCCTTAGCTCTTATGGTATGTAGCGTATATGGCAGTTTGATCTCACACAGGCTGGCGCAGTGCACAAATGTAAATTCCTGGGTTTCTGCAATCTTTGTGTTTGAAACGTCGACCTTCTTCAGCAATTTACAATTGTCACAGGCATGTGCCCCCAGCACTTGGAAGTCTCGCGTCAGCTCCAGTGTAGTTATCCCAGTAGAGCTGAGACAACCTTGTGACAGCTCCTTGGCCTCTACCCCGGCTTGCGGATCCTGTTGATGACTAATCTCTTGCAAGATTGAGACCCTGAAATGGCAGTGAAATCTGACGACCAATTCTGTTCCCCCGGGTGTATTTCCCCCTTATCAACTGCTAACGGATAGACCACCGCACCGTCTTTCAATTGGGCAAATATCTGGCGAAATATACAAGAACCCCAGCAATACGTACATGAAAGTGCTGTCGATTATGTCGTGGCGTACATGCGATAACATAGAGCCTGTGTTGTTTTGCCCCAATTTCTTGTGGATAATTGGACAAGTCAGTTGCACAATTTTCCTTGGTGCAATCTACCACGCGTGCCCATGGCTGCACATCTTGCGCTGGTGTGAGAAACGGCAATACCTTTGTTCGCTCCATCCCATCAGTCGGTAAACCGAGGGATCTTTAGCTTGCATTGTGCGCTTGGCTACATCAGCTGGCTTACCGCCTCGAGCCAAAAGACTGTGAGAGGAACAATGACAAGAAGGGACAAGGAGGAGGCAGCAACAATAACCCACAAGAAATACACAGAGGGACAGGACAAGAAAGTGCCTACCAGAGCTGAGAAGCTGAAAGCTGAGGAAGATCTGTCAGGAGGGGAGCACCGGTCAGAGCTGTGTCATTCGGGGCTCGTGAAAACAATAGTTGCTTGGATACCGAGAAGGATTTCGACAGCTGGGCCAGTTGAGCCAAGGTTCCAGCATCAGTACGAACCATAACTCCCACTGACTGCGTAGCACAGGCTTCATTACGCAGTTTCTGTTGGGGTTTGGCTAGAAGAACCGTCGTTTTTTGGCTTGATTAGCTGTTCTTGCTCGCTTGGCTTGTCGTTCTTCAAGTAAGGTCTGTTCCTGCGTATTGGCCGCTTGATAAGTACGCTTGCGTCGAAAGTGGGTTTGCGGTGGTAAAGGGTGTCCACTCCGGACACCCACTGTAAGCTCTGAGAGGTGCCCAGGCATAGCAGCAAGTTCAACTTTAAGCGCTTCATGCTTCTGTTGTAACGGTTCACATCGAAATAAAGGATCATCCAGAGAGAGCCCATAGCGGTCACTCAAGAAATGACGCAGGCGTTATGTGTGTGGCAGCAGGGCAGGGAGAAGCCCAAAAACCATCATGTAACCAAATGACAGAGCTAAATCCAACAAGAGACTGCAGGAAGGTGTGCGCAGCCCAGGTCAATTGCTGCTCCAGAAGTTCATAGAATCGGAAGGGCGCCGTGCGGCTTCTGGCTATCACTCTGGCAGGGCACCAGGCAGGCGGGTGGTTCATGACATATCGACTAGCAGCATGCAGCTCATGTGCAAAACGCGTGAGTTCAGGCGGCATATTGTTAGCCAGTTGGAGCTGCTGACGTAGTAGAAATGTAATTGCCTCTTGTGGTGTGCCACTATTGAAAACAATAAGTGGCCACCTTTTAACCAGAGCATCCAGAGCACCGAGACTTGCAGGTTCTACGGCAAGAGTAAGTATCCTATTGAGCCAATCTCTGGTTCGGGTCGGGAGCGCTCGGTCCCACGCTGGACAGTCAATGGCATTCCTCTCATCAACTAAAACGCTGCTTCGCACAGAGGTTCCATTGTGGTCGGATGTTGCCACAGCAAAACATTCCCCACCAAAGACGAACGCAAGTGAATACGAGGCAGAATCGAGCACAACAAGCACACAGGAGCCATCACCCAGATTTGCAGAACCTGTTTCTAATGCAGGTGATGATGAGCTGATCCAACCAGAGGAACTGCCTGCAGGAAGCGGAGCCAACCTACGTTGTCCCAAAGGGTCATGGACGGTTTGTTTTTCGGTGCTCCCGGCCACTAAATGCGGCCGACAACTTTGCCAAAGGCAATGCCCAAGAGAAGAGCAAAATCATCTCCAACTGGCCAACTACTGGCTTGGAGGCAGCCATGAAGCGCATTGGATGGTACCTCCTTTCCTCCAAACAGGAGCTCACACTCATGGATAGACATCAGCCACGACAATACTATTGTGACGGCTGCCCTGACACCCAACAAGACGACATCGCATTTCAATGCTCGCAACGCCCCACGCCAACCCCACAGGCCACAGGGACCTCCCAGCAGTGTCCCCCTGGCACAGGGTGATGGCCTTAGCCGTTGCATTGCTTCTTGTGTCTCTGGTTCCTTTCTCGATTTGTCCAAGGAGGGAAGAAGTTTCACCTTGATTGAAGTGGCCACGCAGGCTCAAGGGAGAGGGACCGAAATCCCACATCTCCTCCAGGAGACTGCGCAGCCTGATTGCCGGGCAGCTGGCTCCATTGCGCTGGCCACGCTTGCGGGCAATGAATACCGCATGCCTGCAAGCTCAGAGTGCTATGAATGCCTCGAGCAACTCGAAGATGATGTAGTCAACTTCCTGCCGTCAGTTGCTGACATTGATATATTTGGGCGCGAAGTCGATCTGATTAGGCTGGACACCCAACAGCCGTTACGGGACCCCATCCAAG